AGCACCTACTTAGAACAAGCTTAGCAAAGCACAGGGACCGCGGTTCAATCCCCCAGCACCACATGCCAGCCAGCTCCGCCCCCTAGTGGGCTGAGCTGGCCACACACACACACACACACACAAATAAATAAATAAAATACAAATAAACAAAACACCAAAAAAAGCCTTTATCCCTACTGGACTCTGCCTAGGACAGTCTACCTGGGAGTCTGCCTTTGGCTGGCTCCTCACCAATATTCAGATGCCAGTTCAGATGCCACTGCCTTAGATCACTGAGGCATCACTTACCCCTAGCCACTCACTGTTGTATCATCATTTTATTTCCTCCATTATTTATTTTGGCACGGGGGGATACTGGAAATTAAACTCAGGCCCTCAAGTTTGCCAGGCAACTGCTACACTGCTGAGCTCTATTCCCAGCCCCCTTTGTTTTTATCTCCTTTACAACATGTTATCACCACCTGTAGCTCCTGGCTCCAAAACCTGTACTGGTATTTAGCACAGAATCTCACAAAGTAAAAGCAGAGAATTCAGGATTGTTGTAGCTAATATCACAAGGCCATGCCCAGTCCCAAAGGCAGTTTCCTTCAACTGAGATCCGTGCCCAGTTGCCACCCTCCTCCTTCCCTTCTGGAAACAGAGCTCTTACCCAGCTTCCCATAGTGCTCAATGAGGTCCATCTTGGAAAGGAGGTTGACGTGGGGCAGCTCCACATGCAGCATGGTGGCCAGGGAGGTGCACAGTACTGAAATGAACTTGCCTGGATCTGTACAGTAGTGAGAATCCACAAGGTGAACAGCAGTCAGCTAGGAGGAGAAGAGAGCGTGAGTGACCCAAGGAAGCAGGGGACATCAAGCTCCTCTTTTTCTCATCAGACTGGGGGCTTGAGGATACAGTGAGTGCAAGCTTCTGGAATGCTCTGTTTCTGTTTTGTTCTAACAGCCATTATGTCCTCCTCCAGGAGACATGCACACTTCTAGATATAAAGATTTTTTATTTGTACATGTTTGCAATACATTCATCATGGAAGTTGGTACATATAGACATTTTTTCCTTAAAGATGCCTTGCACTGAGCCTCCCAATGGGCAACAGGTACAAGTCCACTGCATCTGCCTCCATACTCTCACCTGTCAATTTAACAACAGTCGCCCTGCCATATATTCTTTCATTTTTCCAAAAGTCCCTAGTACTAACACATCTGTTTTAAAAACTCAAAAGAAATGATTTACCTAGACCACACAGCGAGTCAGTGGCAGAGCCAAGAACTCCTAATTGTCTTACTCTAAGCAACCCCTACCTCACTGTGACATGAGGGTGTTCCATCTGTCCTCCCTCTCTCATTTGCTCCATCAACAAAACGGGCCTGCCCGCCACGAAACGCACCCTGAGGTCCCAATGAGTCATCTGAGAGAAGATGTTACGCAGGGCACCGTGGTGTGTGCACAGCTCAACCTGGCCGGGGCAATCGAAGAGGAAGTAGTGGCCGCGGAGGGGGTCGAGCTTGGCACGCAGCCAGTCCAGGTTGGCTTCCAGGTATTCCATGCAGTACAGCAGGCCGCCGTTGGGCCCCAGTCGTAGCGCGTCCATCACGTCCCCCAGCCCCACCAGCTCGCTCACGTCCACTGCGCATTCGTACGGCAGCCCCTCGTTGGCCGGGTCCAGGTTCACTACCGCCACGCGCCGGCCCAGCGCGCGCAGGAACTCACTCATACCCAAGCAGTACGTGGTCTTTCCTGAGCCGGGCGGGCCGATCACTGCCTGCCCGAAGGTTGTGAGCGGGGCAGCCGCCGCCATAGGCACAATGAGGGTCGGTGTGGAGCGAGGCAGCCACGTGGGAAAAAGCGGACAGCCTCACCAGGAGACAAGACGACGGGCCGGGAACTCCTACCCCGCCCACAACGGAGCAAAGGCCCACCTAAGGCTGAACAGCGGGAGCTCGCGCCCGGCTAAGGTGAATAGCCCGGTAAGGACGGGACCTCTTCCCGACTTCCGGACGGCGTCGGAAACGACGGGGCGCGCGCGGAAAGGAAGTCCCGCCCCCCGGCGGCGACGTGACCCGGCAGGGCGTGACCACGCAGCCGCCCTTCTGCGGAGGACGGGTCTCTCGGGGCGCCCCTGTTGCGAGTCCTCCGGCCTTCTTGTACGCACGAATTACAGCGGATGGCAAAGTCCAGCCATACATGCTTTTATTGTCATTACGCTGGAGACCTCGGGTCACCTCCGGCAGCGGCTGGGACCCAGAGAGGGTGGAAGCGGTGGCGGGCCCACCCCACGATCTTAACCGCGCCACAAATCTCTCATTCCGAAGCTTTTCTCCACACTCTGGCTTTCACGGCAAGCTCCTGCAGACGCCCAAGGAAGGCTGCTATTTGACCCTGGTCAGTCCGGCTTTTCGAGTACAGGGCAAGCCCGAACGGGGATAGGGAGAGGTCATTAAGCCCTTATACCCAGTGAAGGGGGCTTTTCAATAAAATGTCCTTGAGGTAGAGAACTGATAGGCACAGAACTAAGCAATCTGTGCAAGCTGCACCAATTGTAGCTCCCAGATTCTCTTCTGCTTCAGCAGTGGGCAAGGCCTGCCCAGAGGCCCACCATCCAGCAGCTATGTGTGATCCTGGCCAGTGAAACCCTGGCCCTCACTCAGGTTCTGAGGGGTGGTGATCTGAGGACAAACTGGAACCCCTCACAAAGGCTGAAACTGTCCGAAACTTCATGCTGGTGGGTGGCTGGCGGCGGAGGAGTGACTCGCCCTGATCCTGGGGTAGGGGATCATCGTAGATGGTGGAGATGAGTCCCAAGCCAGTTCCGCGGGGTCTCTTCAGCTGCCCAAATGGCTGCAGTTTCTCCCCATGGTACCTGGATTTAAAAAAAAAAAAAAAAAAGGTCTCATGAAGAGTGCAGCTCTCTAAAACCCCAGTGAAGGAGCTGCGAAAGGACAGGGAAGTAGCTACTCATATCTGATTTGTCTCAAAGATTGCTGGGTTTTTGTTTTTTGGCAGGGCTAGGATTTGAACCCAGGTCCCTATAGATGCTAAACAACCCTGTACCACTGAACCACACTTCCAGCCCCGAGATGGAAAGCTTTAAGGCTGAAGCAGGAGGATCACCATGAGTTCAAGACTGGCCTGGACTAAAGTGGGACCCTGCGTACAAGACCCAAAACAAACAAACAAACAAAAAAAACACAAGATGGAAAGCTTTAAATCTCTGATCTGCCCATTGGTGGTCAGTGTCAGCAACCAGGGACCTCAGATGCAATTTTCATTGTATCAGTACAGACTAACAACCGGGGCAGGGACATGGCTCAGTAGAATAAGTGCTTGCCTGGCAAGCACAGGGGCCTGAGTTCAATCCCTGGCTCCGCCAAAACAAAAAAAAAAAGACTCTTAACAACTGTGAAGTTCAAAATGAGACTGGGGGCAATGACTGGGGGAATCAATAACCGTTAACCTTTAGGGTTTAGGCTAAGACAAACAGAAACATGTCAGATCCACCTTTTCTTTCTGTTTTGAAGTACATTCTCTAGGAGTACCCAGCACCTATCTCAAAGCCAGTGGGAATGGAAAAACCAGGACACAGCTGAAAGGCTAGCTTAGGCTCCTGGGAAGTCTGTCAGCCACACTCACCCCAATCCACGCTTGCATCTGGGGTGCTGGCCATCACTATCCAGGGCGTCAGGCACCCCCGAGCACCTGCTTCCAAGTCCCTGGCCCTCAGTCCAGCCCTGCCGCTCCATCACCTTCCGCCCAATGCCCTGTAGAGGAAACAGACAACTCAAAAAATGGGATTCAGAGCTGGGGAGATAGTTCAGTTGAATAAGTGCTTGTCTGGCAAGTGCAAGGGCCTGAGTTCAAACCCCCACTCTGCAAAAAAAAAAAAAGGGGGGGGATTCACTCTAGGGGGAGGAGGAAAGGAAAAGAGGGCAAAGAAGAGGGGGCTCAGTGGGCTGGGCACAGTGCTCACTCACCTTAGTGTAGCGCTCAAAGGTTCCCACCTGGCGTTCAATGACAGAGCCGGCTTCCTGGCCATCACGGAGCCTCTGTTCCAGACGCATTTGGACTGAGTCTCGGGCGTCCTTGTCTCCACCATCTGGGAAACCAAGGCCCAGTTTGTGGAAGAGTCTCAGCATAAAGGAGGGAACCAGGTTTCTAGGGTCCCCTCATAAGGTTTATTGATTCATTTTCACTGTGTCCTGTTATATTATCTCTCTCACTGGACTAGGCGTTTCCCAAGAGTAGGAGGATGGCTTTCTCCATCTTACAGATGAGGAAATTATAGTGCAGAAAAGTCACAGCCCCAACAGATGACAGAAATGAAATTAGAGACCAGGTCTCTACCCAGCCCAGGTCATTTTTTTGGCTCCAGAACCAACCCTTGAGCAAACCCCAAGCTCCTGACCATCTGAGCCCACCAGGACCTGCCCATCAGACCCAAGTCCCCTGCAGACTTTCTCCAGGTATCCTTCCTTCTCATAAAGAAAGGAAAAAGCCTCTGTCCAAGATAGCAATCACTATCCTCAACTAGAGATGGTATTAGGCCATATCTATAGGTTGTGCATTTGTGGATTCAATAGACTTTGAACTGCAAGTAATCAGAAAAACTGCACCTCTACTGAATGTGCATAGACCTCAGTTCCTTATCACTATTCGCCACACAATACAGTAGTTGGGACTGGTGGCACATGCCTATAATCCCAGCATTGGGAAGGTTAGGGTGGGAAGATCACAAGTTCTAGTAAGCCCTGGACTCTGTCTCAAACCAACAAAACACATACACTGTAACAATTATGTACCTATTACATTGTAATAGTTATGATAAGTAATCTATGTTTTAAGAGATGATTCAAAGTATATAGGAGGGCTGGGGAGATGGCTCAGTAAAATAAGCGCTTGCCTGGCAAGCACAAGGGCCTGAATTCAATCCCCAGTTCCGCCAAAACAAACAAACAAACAACAACAAAAAAAAAAAAATCCAAAAACAAACAAACAAAAAAAAACCCAAAACACAAAGTATATAGGAGAACTATGCAGGTTGTAAGTGAGTACTATGCCATTTTATAGAAGGGACATGAGCACCTGCGGATTTTGGTGTCTGTGGGTTCTAGAACTAATACCATGAGGACAAGAAGAGCTGACTGTACAGTGGTCTTGCCTCAGCCTTTGCTAAGAGGCCTGGAAGTCACTTCAGGGCCCACACACCAGTCCCACACCTCAGAGTACTAGCACCCCCTGCCCAGTACCTCTGTCGTAGTACACACTCATGTCCACGTCCCAGTCATCAGCTGTCTGCTCATCGAAGTCTACAGGGATATAAAAGCATCCAGAGAGTGAGGTAAGGACTCTTAGTTCTGTTGAGAGCCTAAAGCTACGATGAAACACATTCCAGAACCTAGGGTTTCTGTTTGTTATTTTCAAGTCTCTCTTCTGGGAAGGGAATTCAGAACTGGAGTTGGCGGAGGCATTTTCTGTCCTGAGGACAAACTGGAACCCCTCACAAAGGCCTCACACTGATCCCTCCAGAAAAGCTCCCCCAACCTGGTACTGGGGATAGACAACTGGTCTCTCATACATAATGAAGGTGAACCATTCCCTGTCTTCTTTTGGCTTACTGTCAGGGAATCTACCAGATAAAAATAGAGAACCCCCCTCCCCCCCATTATGCAACAGGCATAACCTCTGCCCTTGCACAGGTGTCCTGCCCGCCTGCTACAATTGGGTCTTAAACACTTCCCCAAAGCCCATATGTTAAAAACACAGGCCCCAGGTAGGTGACTACTGGGTGGTGACAGAAACTTTAAGAGGTAGAAACTAGTGTGAGCCGTTTTAGGTTTCTGGGGGTGTGTCCTCGAAGGGGACTGTGGAACCATGGGTTTTTTTCTCCTTGTGTCCTACCTAGGAAGTGAATGGGCTTCCTGCACCACACACTCCCCCCTCCATGTGCTGCCTTACAACAGCCCCAAAAGCAACGAGCCAAAGTAAACTCCTCTCCTTACAAGTTGATTCATCTTATGTATTTATTAAGAATGGCAGGGGCTGGAGAGATGGCTCAGTGGTCTAAAGCACCTACTTGGAACAAGCTTGGCAAAACACAGGGACTGCGGTTCAATCCCCCAGCACCACATGCCAGCCAGCCCCACCCCCTGGTGGGCTGAGCTGGCCACACACACACACACACACACACACACAAATAAAATTTAAAAAAAAAAGAATGGCAGCAAGATGACTCATGGCCTCACCTCCCTCTTCCTCCTGCCAGAACTGGGCATCAGTGTAGAACACCAGTCCAGAGCCACCCTTCTCCCACTTGAGCTCGATCTCCTCCTCGAAGAGCCGCTCAGTTGTCCGCTCCTGCCCTGTCACATCTTCGTGCAGTGCCTCATGTCGCTCCCACTCCTCACCACGGTCATCATCCTGGGAGAAGGTAAGAGAAGTGCTTGTCCACTTTCTGACCTCATGCCCAGAAGGAGGGACTTAGCGCAAGCAGGCCAGTAAGCCTGGGCTTCAGCTCCATTCTTTCAGGTTTCTCCAGAAATAGCAGAGATTCGGTCCTGGAAGCCCTGAGCAAGCCATCTCTCCAGCCCTCTGACACTTCTCCACATAGTTTGCTGCTTCCCACAAATCCAACTTACTCTTAGCTCTGTGCTTTTGGCTATGTGGTTTCCCTCACCTAAAGTATGTGCCCATGTCTCCCACATCCTTCACCTCTCTGTTTGGTTAAATCTTCCTTGTCCTATGGCCTCTATGAAGTTCTCACACGTGCTCCACAGGTCTTTTACCCATCTGAATTCTCAGTGCTGATACATACATACTGCTTAGACCTTTATTTATTTATTTAGTATTTTAGAGAAGGGCCTATAGGGTGATCAGGGTCTCACTACTAGATCGGACTTGTAGTGATCCGCCTGATTACAGTCTTCCAAGAGCTGGGATTCTAGGCACGTGCCACCATGCCAGTCTCAATCACCATCTCAGTGTGACCTGGGGGTGGGGCCAGCACGGCAGGCCTGGGGATGGAACCCCGGCCCCTGTGCCTGCTTGCAGGCGCTTTAATCTACTAAGCTATTTGACCAGCCCTGCTTACGCCTTTATATATCACAAAGAAAGCAGGGACAAGAACTGGCACACTGCTGCAAGGAAGCTCCTGCTAAAGCTTCTTTATTCATCCTAATGAGACTGTAAAATAAATATCACTGTTGCCCTTCTCCAGAGGAGGGAACCTAGATTCAGACGAGAAAACTAACTGAAAGTGGCAGAACAGTATGCAGACCAGTTCATGACGTCATGCGTCATCTCCAGATGCTGATTCCTTTTCTTCAGAGAGATTTTAGGCAGGGCTGGGGCGATAGCTCAGCAAAATAAACACCTGCCTGGCAAGCACAAGGTGCTGAGTTCAATCCCTGGTACCACAAAAAGCGGGGGTGGGGTGGGGGTGGGGGTTGGAACAGGCCTTGGAATGTGTTGCCCTTACAAGTGTTTGCTTGACTGGACTTGTGGAGTGCTAGAAAAAAATACAAAAAGGGCAATCCACTTTCAGGCCCCCTTCTGTCCCTCTCACACAGAAAGTTTTTTTCCTCTCAATAAATTCTTCTAATAAATTCTTCCTAAAAAATTAAAAAAAAAAATTATTCCTAAAAAAATAAACTAATCAATAAAAGTTAAAAGGGGGGGGGGCGCTGGGGAGATGGCTCAGTGGAATAAGTGCTTCCCTGGCAAGCGCAAGGACCTGAGTTCAATCCCTGGATCTGCCAAAAAAAAAAAAGTTAAAAAAAAAAAGTTGTCTGCTGTGGTGGTGCACACTTGTAATCCCAGCACTCAGGAGGCTGAGGCACAAGAATTGTTATTGTGGGTTCAAGAACAGCCTGTGCTATAAACTGAACTCAAGGCCAGCCTGAGCTGCATAGTGAGGCCCTGTCTTAAAACAACAATAAATAGATAAATAAATAAAACAATACATCCCCATACAAATACAGTTTTACAGTCGCTGTCAGAGAGTTCTCACATGCCTTGGAACCCTCCCGAAAAGTCCAGGTTCAGAACTCTTGTACAACACAATGAAAGGAGCCAGGCATGGTGGTTTATGCCCATAACCTCAACACTTAGAAACGAAGGCAGGAGGATAACTGTAGTTCAAGACCAGCCTAGACTGCATAGTGAGACCTTGTCTTAGAAGAAGCCATAATGAAAGAGTGGGAAAAAGAACCAAACTGACACCATTTTGTACTTAGGCACCATCTTAGATCTTCAGTTTCTATTTTCTTAAGTTTGTTTCTTGTAAATGTCATAGTTACTAACCTGCTACCACCCCACACTTTGTCATAGGACTGCTTATTCCCTATGTAAAATGTCAAACACCTTTGTTCCTTTTTCATAAGCTAAGCCCATGCTTTGTAGAACTAAATCATATCAGAAAAAAACTAATCACCCCTCCAGAACCAGAACTAGAACTGTGGACATATTCTGCTTTTGTTGAGGGTTAATGCTCACTCATGCCCTAACCGCCGGCTAATAAACTTGTCTCTATATCCAGCCTCTGAGGTGACTCAATTAAATCAGCACGTTTGCCCCAACAGCATCTTTAGTGATGGGGTCACTAAGCTACCACCAAGGACAGGGTAGCACACCATACTCACATCACTTGAGTGGGACTCTTTCTCCTCCTTTTCCTCTTCCTCCTCAGGCTCTTCGTGGTCAGGTGGATCTACCAGGCAGGTTCCCTGGGGGATTTCCTCGCCCTCTGCTGTGTACACAAGCTCCTCCTGCTCCACAGTCTCTGAGTCCTCATACTGGAAGGGCACATTGCCGTAGCGCCGAGAGGAACCCGTCTTTGGGAACTGGAGCTGCAGCTGGGTGATGATTCGAGGGGGGAGACGGCAGGTCCGGATCAAGTCCAAAAAGACCCGCAGGGGGGTCCCCACATTCCCATTGGGCATCAGCACTGGTGGGTTCAGCTCTGGCAGCTGCCTTAGGTCGGCCAGAGTGAAGGCTTCACTCTCAGATTTCCGACTCTGCAGTTCCTTCCGTGTCTTAAAGGGAAAAGAGTTCAAACCTTCGGAAGGAGGGAGACAACAGATTTTGTTTGGTTACTGGGGACTGAACTCAGGGCCTTCACGCTGAGCTACGTTTCCTTTTTAAGTTTTTGAGACAGGGTCTCACCACGTTGGGCTAAGTTGCCCAAGATGAGCTTGAACTTGCAATCTTCTTGACTGCCTTCCAGAGTGGTGGGCTAAAAGGTGTGCACCACTTTGCTCAACTGAAAAATGCATTTTGAAACCCAAAGCCTCTAGCACTGAGCCAGAAATAAGTCAGGGTATAAATCCACTATCCTAATGCTGCCCCCTTTCTAACTTCTCCAAGTCCCTTCCTCCTTTCCTAATAGAATCACTTAGTCATTTCACACCACTTCTCATCATTTTGTCTGAGCCTCAACTTTCTTCCAAATTTGGTTCTCATGGACCTTTCTCTTTCTGGGAGGAGGGCAGTGCTGAGGACTGAACCCACAGCTCCCCCCATGCTAAGCACCTGCTGTGCCACCGAGCCACATCCTCAGCTCCATCCTGACTCTCAACTGTCACCAACTCCCACCTACTGCAAGCTCTTATGCCACATGTTTCAGTCACACCTAACATTTAACATATCCTGAAGGCTTCATAGATTTCTGTTTGTCTTGTTTTTTTGGAACAAGATCTCACTGTGTAGTCCGGAATGTGCTGAATATGCTGAATATCTTTTTTAAGGGTTATTTATTCATATGGTACTGGGGATTGAACTCAGGACCCTGAGCTTGTCAAGCAGGCACTTATTCTATTGAGCTATCTCCCCAGCCCTTGTAGTCCGGAATGGCCTGGAACGCACTGCACCCTTTCTGCAGTGCTCAGATTACAGGTGTGCGCCACCAGGCCCAAAATTTCTTACATTTCTTATCTCTGCCTTCGCAAACAGCATTTCCCGTGAACATCATTATTAACTACAAACTTATTTATCATTGAATATCCAGATGAAAAGTCACATTTCCCAAGCTCTCTACAAAGCAGTTTCTCCCTCCACTATCAGCTGTCAACACAAGTTCTAGCAGGGCACAGTGGCATGTACTTGTAGGCTCAGCTGATTGAGGGCTGAGGCAGGATGGTAACCTGGCTTCAGGAATTTGAGTAACATCTGGGAAACAGGAGCCAGGGAGATGGCTCAGTAGAATAAGTGCTTGCCTGGCAGGTGCAAGGGCCTGTTCAATCCCTGGTTCTGGAAAAAAAAAAAAAAAAAAAACTTGGGTAACATCTGGGATTGCACCTCCACCCTCTCCCAAAAGTCTGCTGAGCTGTCTCACCAGCCCTAGTAGTTATTAACAATTAGAGTGACATCTCTGTGACAATTACTTTTTTCCTAGTATGTCTTATTCTGTAGATTCTTTTTTTTTTTTTTTTTTTTCCGGAACTGGGGATTGAACTCAAGCACTTGCCTTTGCCAGGGAAGCACTTATTCTACTGAGCTTTGAAAGACATTCAGAGATGTGTGAAAACTGTCAGAATCAAAATGGAGTCACTTATACCAAGCCTTAAGGAAGGGGCCAGGGAGATGGCTCAGTAGAATAAGCGCTTGCCTGGCAAGTGCAAGGGTCTGAGTTCAATCCCCAGTTCTGTAAAAAACAAACAAACAAACAAACAAACAAACAAACAAAAAAAGCCTTAAGGAAATAGGGCAGGGAGGATCCTCATGCATATATGACTATCAAAAAAGATTCTGCAAAAACCACAACTTTGCACAAAAATATTTCTATAAGGATATCTAGCAACTGCCCGTTCAGTCTTGAACTGAGGCCATCCTTGTATTATTGATTCTTCGAGCCAAGGATAATTGTTTCAAAATAATTTATTTAAGCTGAGCGTGGCGATACATTCCTGTAACCTCAGCACTTGGGAGGCTGAGGCAAGGGGATTGCTGCAAGTTGAGGCCAGCCTGAATTACACAGTGAGATGTTGTCAGCCTGAATTACACAGTGAGACGTTGTCTCAAAAAGAAACCCTTGGGGCTGGGGAGATGGCTCAGTGGGATAAGTGCTTCCCTGGCAAGCGCAAGGGCCTGGGTTCAATCCCCGGTTCCGGGGGGTGGGGAAGAAATCCTTTAAGGGGCCAGGGAGATGGCTCAGTAGAATAAGCGCTTCCCTGGCAAGCGCAAGGGCTTGAGTTCAATCCCCGGTTCCACAAAAAAAAAAAAAGAAAAGAAACCCTTTAAAAAAAAAATTTAATTTTCTTAATTTTGTCTTTTAAAAACCCATACCTTCCCTAACCTCCCTGGATATACTAAATGCTCCCTATGGTTCATGTATATCGCTGTCTGCAAACGTAAATACAGTACATTCGGTGGACAGCTGGTCGCCCTGTTGTTCACTTTAGGTTGTGATTTACAAAATCTCCTTTTTTTTTCTTCTGTCAGAAAAAAAAAAAAAAAAAAAAAAAAAAAAAAAAAAGAGCCTCTCATGGGAAAAGCTCTCAGAAGGGAAATGGAAGATTATCCGCATATGCCCTTCTTTCCCTTTTTTATTCCCGAGTTACAATAGCGTGCAACGTCAGCCTGAAGCTCTTCCCAGAAATGATCTAAACTGCAAAGAGCCGTAACCAGAGGCCCGACTTATCTTCTCCGCACCTCAGGAAAGATACGGAGGCCTAGTCCGTTTTCTTTTTCATTCGTACCTTCTGTGTCAGTAGGAAGCCTAAGTCTGCGGATAAGACAGCGACCCGGGAGCCAAGTGCCCTGAGAATCCAGCCACCGGCGGCCGGAGTACATGCGAAGAAATTTCTGGGCTTGAGCCAGCCCCCGAACAGAGACGACGCAGCAGCGGGTTTGGGTCTGGACCCGAAGGGAATCCCGGGTAGAAACTGCGCAGCCATCGGTGGCTGCAACCTGGGCGGAAGCTTGAGTCGAAGTTAGAACAGAGTCGGTACCGGCCTGGGGAGGGACCCGCTCCGGCCGATGTCGGTAGTGGAAACAGAGGAAACCCCCGCTGCGCTGTTCCCGGAACTGGCTAAAGTAGCTCCTCAGTTGAGCGGATCGCAGCTCAGAAGGGATGCCGCTCACCACCAGGTAAACTGCCGCTACCTCCTCGGCCTCGCTGGGCGCCGCCATCTTGAGTGTCACATGATCTGCTGGAACCGAACCAAGTCTCGCGAGACACGCCAATCTACGGTGGGGAGTCGGCTTGGAGAGATTGAAAAGGCAGGGTCTAAGAGCTCGCGAGACTCCGCCGGATGTGACTGTGGAGCGAGTCCCCAGGAGAGCCCCGGAAAAGTTGTTCAGATCTTTCCTATAGAGAACACCCAGCGATGATGGAGAAATTCACCCGAAAAATATGGATTAGGGCTCTTTCAGGAGGCTCAAATGAAGCTAAATACCATGGGAGGCCCGAAAAATTCATTTTTAAAATACTTGGTTGTGGGGCCGGGGAGATGGCTCAGTGGAATAAGCGCTTCCCTGGCAAGTGCAAGGACCTGAGTTCAATCCCCGGTTCCACCAAAAAATAAAAAAAATAAAAAATAAAATAAAATAAAATACTTGGTTGTGGGTCTCCCATATCTGTGTGTGTGTGTGTGTGTGTGTGTGTGGTAGCGGGGATTGAACTCAGGACCCTGCACTTGGCAGGCAGGCGCTTATTCTACTGAGCTATGTCCCCAGCAAAAATTTATATATTTTTTGTTTTTAGGACGGGGTGTACAAGGTCTCACTGCATAGATCGGACTTGTAGTGATCCTCCTGTTTACAGCCTCCCAAAAGCTGGGATTTGCGCGCCACCACGCCCAGGCGCGTGAAAGGCCCCCTGAGTCAGTGATTGAGACTGTCTCAATCAGACCCCAGTCTCAATCACCGTCTCAGCTGGCCTCCCGGCGGGGGTGGGGGGTGGGGGTAGGGGGCGGCACAGCAGGCCTAGGGATCAAACTCCTGGCCCCTGTGTCTGCCTAAGCAGGCACTTTAATTCGCTGAGCTATTTGGCCGGCCCCCAGATTTTAGTCTTGCCAGGTGTGGTGGCGTACACCTGTGATTCCAGCACTCGGGAGGCTGAGGCAGGATTGCCACAAATTTGAGGCCAGCATGCACAACATAGTTCAAGGCCTGTCTGAACTACATGGTGAGACCCTGTCAAAAAACTAAAAAAAAAAAATCTAAATCTTCCTCAGCTCAGAACCTCATACCATCCCACAAACTCATAAGAAAAGGATTAAAAAAAAAAAAGTCAATAGAAAAAAAAAAAAGTCAATAGAAAAATGGGCCTGAGCTGGGTGTCGTGGCGCGCAAATCCCATCACTTGGGAGGCTGAGGCAGGAGGATCACTGGGAGTTCAAAGCCAGCCTGGACTACAAAATGAGTTCAAGGCTGCTCTGATGCGCATGGAACCCTGTCTTAAAAACAACAGCAACAACAAAAAAGGAAAATGGGCCTGCTGGCCGAGGTGCCGCATCAGCGCTCTGGAAGGCTGAGACAGAAAGATTTAAAACAAAACAAGGAAGGAAAGGAGAGAGGGAGAGAAGAAAGGCTGGGCGCAATCCCTGTATTGCGGTGGTGGGGATACCTTATAGGACAGGACGCACGGTGTTCCATAGTGAGATGAGACAGTCTCAGAAATGAAGGCAAGGGCTGGTGAGATGGCTCAGTGGTCTAAAGCACCTACTTGGAACAAGCTTGGCAAAGCACAGAGACTGCGGTTCGATCCCCCAGCACCACATGCCAGCCGGCCCTGCCCCCTGGTGGGCTGAGCTGGCCACACACACACACACACACACACATACACACACAAATAATAAATAAATGTTAAAAAAATAAAAATAAATAAATAAATAAAAACCCTCTACTATCAGTGATCACGTGCAACTGGAACTGTAATCTGCTGGCCGTGTAAATTGATAATAAGCACTTTAGAAAACAATCTGCTGTAGACCATATATTAAATATGAGAGAGAAAGAAAACAATCTAGTGCAGTAAGTGGCCTTATATTTTTTGACCCGACAATTCTTTTATATATATATGAAACAAATATCAATGAGACAGTTTCAAAGCTGATTCATAGGACATTTTTATTTTTTTTTAAACATTTATTTATTTATTTATTTTGTGTGTGTGTGTGTGTGTGTGTGTGGCCAGCTCAGCCCACCGGGGGATGGGCCTGGCTGGCATGTGGTGCTGGGGGATTGAACCGTGGTCCCTGTGCTTTCCCAAGCTTGTTCCAAGTAGGTGCTTTAGACCACTGAACCATCTCACCAGCCCCTCATAGGACATTTTTAATAATACATTGTACATTGTTATCTTCTTAGTGGTTATCCATCCAGCAATTCTATTTGTAGCAGATTATCTTAAAGAAATTCTTGTACATGTTTACCAGAAGATGTAATGACAGTGTGGAACTTGACCTGAGCCTTGTGATTCTGGAAAACAGGGAAGGTTAAAAACTCTGTCCCTTAAGATTTTGTGTTCTGGAACACCATCTACTGCACAAAAACATGCTTCCCTATAGGACTGAGATAGGGCTCGTGTGTGCTCCCCCTTATTTATCTATAAGAAGAAATGTAATGAAGATTCCAAATTCCAACTCTTTGCTTCATAAAATGAACTTCTTGACTAATCATTGCTTTAGCTTCAGTCCTTCCGTTGGGTCCCTGAACTTTGTCCCATCCTCAGCTTGAACCAGCACACAGCTGCGCCTCAGCAGCCCCTCCTGAGAACAGGCGGGCTTCAGGGTAAAACATTCTCTAACCAACTGGCCCATCACACTTCTCAGCCGTTCCACTTCCTCACAGCCAGTTCTTTTTAACTTTGCTTACTCTGAAAGAACTGCACGCAGGCCAGCCAAGTAGCTCAGTGGACTAAAAGGTCTGGTTAGGCAGGTGCAGGGACCAGGGTTCAATCCCTGGTGTGCTGTGCCATGCTGGCCCTGCCCCTGGGGCCTGCTGAGACAGTGATTGAGAGTGGGCATGGTGGTGCACGCTTGTAATCCCAATGTTTGAGAGGCTGAAATCAGGAGAATCACCATGAGTTTGATCTGTATAGTGAGACCCTGTACCAAAATGCATAAAAAATGCCTTTTATTATATATGTATTTTTTTTTTAATGTTGGAAGACGGGCTCTCTGTGTAGTTCAGGCTGACCTTGAACTCAAGTGATACTCCTGCCTCAGTGTCCCAAGTGCTGGAATTATAGGTGTGTGCTGTCACGCTCACATCAAGTTTTTTTTTTTTTTTTTTTTT